AACTATACTGCAATTTGGTTGGACAAAAGAGGGCCTCATCCACCCCCTGCATTTGCCCTGTTGGTCCGTTTACCTACATCTCATCTCGGACCCCAGTGCTAAGCACTGGGACAAACCTGAACGTTTCCAAGTAGGGCCATGTACAGTAGTTACTAACTCTCCCTCCCTTCTTTTTCTTTCCTGCTGAAGGCATGCCTGTTATTTACATACATAGTACCTTTTCTTACTCTCCCTGTCCCCCCAAAAGGACTACTCTTAAATTTCTTGAAGCAGAAGATATGGGCCCTGCCTGCATGTTTGTCTCATCGTGGTGTGGGTGTATTTGGTCCCTGGAATGAACCTGGCAAGACCTGTGTGCACAGTGTTCTTGATCCAAAGCCCAGCAGCATCCCTTCCTCCGGCGGCTGAGCCCACAGCTGCTGTGTGGTGTGAGCCCAGGATGGCTGGAGCCTGTGCCGAGGCAGTGAAAACCAACCTTTCCTCTCCCACTCCTCCCCTCCTGTCACCTCCTTCCCCCGAAGACAAAAAGCTGGAAAAACCAGGAATCAGATGCCTTCTAGGAATGAGGTTCAAACTCAGGGGCAAATGTTAGAGAATTTGATCTTGGAGAGAAAGTTGTATTACTAGATAATGTGATCATTATTAACATTTATTGCAGTTATGTAAGCGAATGATTATTCACAAGGCTTGCTGTCTCTGCCTGGCAGTTGAAGAACGACAGTCCAGAGGGCCAGAGTCCTGCATTCACACTCAGTGTCAACTTTCTACGAGAGCACAGCCGTGTTACTCATTTTGGGTGCCACAATGGCTGCTGTCCCTTGCTGACAGAGGGATTGAGGATGATCTGCGTGCAGCCAGTCTTTGAAGCACTTTGAGTTCAGAAGATGCCTACAAATGTGGTGGAGTTGGAAAAGAGCTAGGAGAAAGGCTGTAGGAACCGGGGTGGATTTGAATGATGTGCTTGTCTTCTTTATTTTCCCAAGATTGGAAACAGTTGGAATGCCTAGGGCTTGACACCTTATTCTGTCTCTTTTCCTGCATAATTCTGGGCTATGCAGTTATAACAGTGCATAATGTGTGAATATTATGTGAATGAATACAGTACTTACCTCTTCTGCCCTTCCCTTAGAAAGGTAGTCTAAGGAAGGGCAGGAGGATTCTTAGGGCATTTGTAGAATAAATTAGAGCTTAGGTCAATTAGAGGACACCAGTAGCCACACAGATGGGATGAAACCTTGGCTGAAGGCAGAGGCTCTGTTGTGTTACCTTAAAGTGCTAGAATTTGCTTCATAGCGATGTCCTAAAAACTAGCCCAGGCCATGAACAAAATGGTTGCATTGAGGGAAAAATCCAAATTCTTCCCACCTGGCAGCAGAAAAGTGGAAGGATACACTGTCACCAGTAATTCAGTTGCATGTGGGAAGCCTACAGCATTTTGCCAAATACTGCAGACACACATGACCAGTCCTATGAAGCAGGAATCTCATTTCTGGTCCCCAAGAAGCACCGCTATCAATCACAGTGTTCTCAGGAATACAGACGGATACGTTTTGCAACAACTTGTTATAGGGTCACCTCTCACCTTGGGGTTTACAGTCCATCAAAGTACTTATCTATAGTGGCAAAATCATAGTTGGGGAGATCAAGATCTCATAAAATACAGGCAGCTGGGAAAAATAATTGCGTTGATACATGTGATGAAAGCAGTAGTGAAAGTTCTAGAAGGCATCCACTCCCAAAATAACCACTGTTTAATCATGAGGTGGCCATATGGGGTGATCCTTTCTTTAGTTGTCTGGGAGACGTTGTCCACATCATCTGCTGAGGCAGAGGCTCCCAGCAGCAAACCTGGCTCTGCAGCATATTCGAGCTAGCCCTCACTGGCTGGAAATGAATGCCTTTTGCAATTGCTCGTTCACTCTGGGTCTCCCTCTCCCTCCCTCTCACTTTCCTCCCTTTCCCTTTCCCTCCTTCCCTTTTAAAATACAAGTCTAGGCAGTTGTGTAACCTTCAAACTTTTCATAAATTATGCAAGAGCTTAAGGGCATAGTTTTTGAAGTCTGGTCTTTCATCCCAAATTATTTGAGAGCGTTAATCTTAGTATCTTCATTTCTCTCTCGGTACTTTCCTGTAGCGCCCTATCTCCTATAGTACCCTGATTCCCTCTCTGGAGTCTACAGGGGGAAAGTGCAATAATTTAGGATTTTCCTGTTCTCTTAGGAATTAGGAAGATAGCTGATTTTATATATATTTTTTGTAACCAGTTTATAACAGCATTATCTCAAAACCTGGAATAAAAGATTGATGCATATAAAGAAAAAAGAAAAAAAAAAACAACCCTTGCTGTTATGAGCAGGGCTGAAAAAGGAGCCAGGGAGAGGGAGAGGTAGCTGAGTGTTAGGGCATCAGGGAGGAAGGAAAATGCAAAGATAAATATGGAAATAGCTTCTTGAAAATAAGCAAATAAATTTTCAACGAAGAACTGTGTAAGACCTGCTGTATGTTTTCAGATCTCTGCATTTTCAGAGCTCAGACCAAGAAGTGGGTCCAGGGTGCAGTTCAAGGGATTTAGGCTCAGCCTGCAGATTGCCTGTCTGGGTGACTAAGTGGCAGTCAGGTCACAATATGGGTTAGGACTTAGTTCAGCCACCAGTGACCGGAACACCCACAAATCCCAGGCTTACCTAAGATAGATCACCTAGGAGACCTGGAGGGTGGCAGTCCAGGGCTGGTGTGTTGGCCCCACAGTCATCAGGGACTCAGCCTCAATCAGGCCTTCCACCCAGCCATTCCTAGGTATGGCTCCCCACTCACAGTCCAGAATGGTGTTGAGGCTCCAGCCGTCACATCTCAGCTCCTTGGTCAGAACTGAGTCCTGTGGCCACATCTCCCTGGAAGAGACAGAGATTGAAGAAAGTGGTCTTTTGGCTGAATGGCAGCATGCCCAGTGAAAACAGGACTTCATGTAACTTGAGAGAGAAAGGGAGTATCTCCATTACTAAGCAAAGTCATCATCTTTTCTCATCCTGGGTATTTGTTTACTAAATACCCAATGTCTGATGTTTTCAGGCGTTGCTCAAGGGCAGTGAGGAAAAGGTAGATGGATTTCTGTTTCCATAAAACTTACAGTCTAGTGGGAGGCAAGACAGACAATAAATGAAAAATAAGCGTGGCCGGGTTGACAACCCGCATTCCACGCTCGAGCTATCTTCAGATACAGCTGTACAATATTAATGATGGGAGTGGATGGTGTCAAACATCACCGTCTAAAGCAGGCGTCCCCAAACTTTTTACACAGGGGGCCAGTTCACTGTCCTTCAGACCGTTGGAGGGCCGCCACATACTGTGCTCCTCTCACTGACCACCAATGAAAGAGATGCCCCTTCCTGAAGTGTGGCGGGGGTGGGGGGAGGGGGCGGATAAATGGCGTCAGGGGGCTGCATGTGGCCCGCGGGCTGTAGTTTGGGGCCGCCTGGTCTAAAGCCTGCGGGCATCCTGGACAGCCAGTGTCAGCATATCTTGATGCAAATTCCATCCTTCAAACACTCCCGAGTGAGTGCCTGCCCAGGGAGAAGTACACAAGTAGTAAGCTGGAGCCCCATCTAAAAATCAGCCTGAGTCGTTACTCAGCTAGTGCTCTTCATGGGCCAGCGTGCAAAGAAACACTACAGGTTAAGAATCTAGTCCTAAAATTTCAGGGCTTTTTTTTTCTTTTTTTGGTGGAAAAGGATTTGGAGCTGTTTTTTTTTTGCTGAGGTGCAAGGTAGTCTAATAGGCCAGGCATAGTGGCTCACACCTGTAATCCCAGCACTTGGAGAGGCCAAGGTGGTGGATGGGTCACTTGAGCCCAGGAGTTTGAGCCAGCCTGGGCAACATGGTAAAATGCTATCTCTAAAAAAAAAAAACTACAAAAATTAGCCAGGCGTGGTGGCACGTGCCTATAGTCCCAGCTACCAGGGAGGCTGAGGTGGGAGGATTGCTTGAGTCAGGGAGGCCAAGGCTGCAGTGAGCTGAGATTGTGCCACTGTGCTCTAACCTGGGCAACAAAGTGAAACCCTGTCTCAAAAAATAAATAAGCATTGTTAAACAGTGGTGTGATAAGTAATAATTTTGTGGCTCTCATGGGAGTTTGAAGGGCAAGCTGGGAAACGGGAAAATCACAGGGACACAGCCTTTTTCTGCTCATGGACCTTCAGCAAGTCGTTCCTGAGCCTGGTCTTGCTGGAAACTGGGCAGGTTTCGAGGTTCAGTTCACATGTTGTAAGTGGGCTTGGTTCTAAATTAAACCTGGAGCCACTGCCGGCCACCCAGCACTCCCTGCCATGGCCCCTGTGCAATGCCGCAGACCAGTGATTCTCAAACCATCTGAGATGAAGGACCAGAGTTGCCTTTTTAAATTTGTTTCAGTTTCCTATCTGTCATAAAAATGAAATATTAGAAAAGTGAAATAAAGACATAGATTTCTGTTATTAGATTCAAGAGACATAAAATTGCTCTGTCCATTTGCCTTAAAAGTTTCTGAAGACTGACTCAATTCCTGAACTTGAGTTTGCCAACAGCAAAGAAGTCAGGGCCATCGCTACCAGCCCAGGGACTGTGCTTTGGGCCACAATCTAAGGCCAGAAGGGAACTGCTGCCCTCCCCACTCTGTGTCAGGACAGTCCTGAAGGAGAATGCAGAAGCTCCCCCGGGAAGAGAGTAGCCTGGGCAGCATGTGTCTTGCTGTCTGCACGTCTCTCTGGCCCTTCCTACCCAGCTGCTTGGGTAGACTGGTAAAGGGAACTTCTTGGTGGACTCTCCATGTGCAGGTAAAAATTTCGTTACACACTTGTGGCCAGAGAAACAAAAGGTCACAGCTCTTTGTAATCATTATCCAGGCTCCCCTACCTGAATGCAGGCTTTAGCATAACTGGTTGGCTTAGTGAAGCAGGCGGTCACCTCAGCTGGCATGGCCTGGCGTGGGCTGGGCAGGGGAGCTCATGGTTGCCTCTGTGTTGCAGTTCTCCAAGGAGAGGCACATGATGGACAGGACCCCTGAGAGGCTGAAGAAGGAGTTGGAGGAGGAGCTGCTGCTGAGCAGCGAGGACCTGCGCAGCCACGCCTGGTACCACGGCCGCATTCCCCGACAGGTACCTGGTCTCGTTCCCTCCAGTGCACGTGCAGCTACTCTCAGGCAGTGTAGATTGATGACCCGCAGGGTCCTACTCCGAGGCCATGTCGGAGCAAGCTCCTGTATAAGCAAAAACAAATACTCTAAAAATGACCTCATTTAGACCCTTACCTAAGAAGACCTTGGCAAGAGCTGAGGTCAAGAACTCAGAGCACACATCCACAGGTTCAGGAAGTGAAGGGACAGCCAGCGCTCCTGGGGTCCGCAGAGTTGCGGGAGGCAGCAGCCACAGGGTCAGTAACCGGAAGAACTAGGAGGGAGGGCTGTGGCCCAGGTAATTGAACCCTTGGCCAGCTGCCAGCTGCCAGCAGCCTCAAACCGTTTGCAACCCCTCCTTCTCAAGGCAGCAGCTTAGCTTCGGGAGGAGAGAGGGCGGGTGGCCCAGACCAACAAGGCTGCCTGTGCCCCAGTAGAGCCAGCGTTACTCACTCTCTCCATCGCTTCCATACTGAATACCATGACCCAGAGGTGGGGAAGAAGGGAATCAAACCCATGACCACAGACTCGTGGCCCAGAATATACTGTGTGATCGTCATTTGGATAATTGCCATGAATAATGTTTTTTTATGTAATACTACAAAAATGGAAAAATAGAATAAGTGTGCAGAATTTGAGGCATAGAATTTCCCTTGGGTTTTTATTGTAAACCTGATCTGGCCAATCATTATCTAAAGACAACATGACAGGAAATGTGTGGGCAGGGGCTGGGGGGAAAGGGCATCAAGTCGTAGGTTTGTTTTATTTTATTTTTTTTTGAGACAAGAGTCTTGCTCTGTCACCCAGGCTGGAGTGCAGTGGCATGAGCTCAGCTCACTGTAACCTCTACCTCCTGGATTCAAGTGATTCTCCTGCCTCAGCCTCTCCAATAGCTGGGATTACAGGCACCCACCGCCATGCCCAGCTAATTTTTATGTTTTTAGTAGAGATGGGGTTTCACCATGTTGACCAGGCTGGTCTCGAACCCCTGACCTCAAATGGTTCACCTACCTTGGCCTCCCAAAATGCTGGGATTACAGACATGAGTCACTATGCCTGGGCTTTTTTTTTTTTTTTAATGTAGCAGATTTCTTGGCACAATCAAATAAATAATTTTTATTCTGACTTTGTTCGTTTAAGTTTAAAATTGATGGTAGAAAATATAGATAGTAAAAATAAGGAAATTAAACTCTTATCTCTTATCTCTAATTCTCCTCATAATTCTCCTGGAGATAACCACTATGAACACTTTTGTGTACATATATTCTCTGGGGCTTTTCAAAATCAAGTATGAGATTGTACTGCATATACCTTTTTGGTAGCCCATTCTACTCACTATGTCCTGAAAATTTTCACCCGCTATAAAATATTCTTCTGTGCCAGCCTGCATTGTATGTCTGTCCATGGTATGTATGTCAGTCCATGGTACGCATGCGTCACAATGTATTGAACACTTAGGGTGTTTCTAACACTGTGACCAACATCCTTTAAGAGTGCTATGTTCATACCTATAATTATTTTCACAGGCTCAACAGGCCCAATTCTGGTTTGTTTTTGTTTTGAGATAGAGTCTTGCTCTATCACCAGGCTGGAGTGCAATGGCTCGATCTTAGCTCACTGCAGTCTCCACCTCACAAGTTCAAGCAATTCTCCTGCCTCAGCCTTCTGAGTAGCTGGAACTACGGGCGTGCACCCCCACACCCAGCTAATTTTTGCATTTTTCGTAGAGACAGGGTTTCACCATGTTGGCCAGGATGGTCTTGATCTTTTGACCTTGTGATCCACCTGCCTCGGCCTCCCAAAATGTTGGGATTACAGGCATGAGCCACCATGCCCAGCCTTCACAGGCTCAATTCTAAGAAACGGAATTTCTAAGTGAAAACATTTTTAAGGCAAAGATGCAATTTCAAGGTAACCATGGTAGCCTACTATTTTAAGCTAACAGAAGTATACTGTTGATCAAATGATGGAATGTCTGAGAAAAATTGTCAGAGTTATAAAACTGGTGACTGTCACCATCCTTCTCCTTATCATGGTTGTTAAATTTGTTTACTACTTGCCATGAGTATAAATTTTCAGCGATAAATCATTCCAAACTGAGTAACTGAACACTATAACCATAACCATAATACCAAGAGTTATTGCTAACATTTTAGCCCCTTAAATTTTTGTAGCCATCCTGTAGGTAATATTATCATTTGCGTTTTTCAGATAATGTAAATTAGCCACAGGGAGATTATATAATTTGTCCAGAGTCTTACGGATGAGCCAGGATGCGAACCCAGGTGGTTGAGGCTACAGGAACAGCCAGACTGCACCACAGTCTAAATTCTCCAGTTGCTTTAAGCAGCAGCATCATGCGAGTTATTTTTGAGTATCTACTGTGTTCCAGCGCTTGCATGTATTATGTATACAAATGCATAATGCTTATAGTAACTGTGAGATGAGGGATCCCAGCCTGCCGGCCCGACTTAGTTCCAAGCCTTCCAGCCAGTAGTTGGTGTGTCCTGCACGTGGACTCCTCCTCTGAGAGGACTCCGTGGACAACTTCTAGACACCAACGAACACCTTCTTTCTCCGCACTCCACCTGTTGGGGAGGGATAATCAGTCCTACCCGACACGTACTAATTTCCTGTTTCCTGGTGCATTACATCATTCAAGTCTATTTACACGTCATGTTCTTGTGACACTTCCCCAACCACCCTATTTTACTAGACAGCCCTCATCCCCTGCCCAGCACTTCCTGTCCCCTTTCCTGATGTACTTTTTCCCTGACGTTACATCTGACGTACCATAGCCATTGGTTATTTATTCTCACGAAAACAGAAGCTCCCCAACAAACGCAGGAGCTCCATGAGGTGGGCTCTTGTGTGCCCGTGTCACCCCTGCAGTGGTGCTTGGCACAAGTAGGCGGTCAGTCAGTAGTTCCTGAATGAATGATTGGATCTTCTATGAATTTGACCTTTGAAAAACTAAACAGCTGATCCAAGAAGAAATAGTAGCATTGCCTTCCGTTGGCCCAGAGAAGTGGGTAGCTATAAGCTTTTGGAAGGAATGTGATTTTCTTGCCTTTCTTACTCCTCACTCACCTTTTTGTCCCAAAGGTGTCTGAAAACCTTGTGCAGCGAGATGGCGACTTCCTAGTTCGTGACTCTCTGTCCAGCCCTGGAAACTTTGTCCTAACCTGTCAGTGGAAGAACCTCGCTCAGCACTTCAAAATCAACCGGACAGTTCTGCGGCTCAGCGAGGCGTACAGCCGCGTGCAGTACCAGTTCGAGATGGAGAGCTTCGACTCCATCCCCGGCCTGGTGCGCTGCTATGTGGGCAACCGCCGGCCCATCTCCCAGCAGAGTGGTGCCATCATCTTCCAGCCCATCAATAGGACGGTGCCCCTGCGGTGCCTGGAGGAGCGTTATGGCACTTCCCCAGGCCGGGCCCGGGAGGGCAGCCTCACCGAGGGATGGCCGGACGTGGCCAAGAGGCTGAGCCTCACCATGGGTGGTGTCCAGACCCGAGAGCAGAATTTGCCCAGGGGAAACCTCCTCAGGTGGGTCAAGGCCTCCTCCGCAGTTGGCACAGGACCATGAAAGGCACCAGAGGTGCCCAGACTTAGGCAGATGAAGAATTCATCATGGAACAGAGAAATAAATGATGTTAATAGGAATGCCAACTGTTCGTGGAATAGCTGTTACGAGGCATTGCACTGTTAGCTCCCAGCTGAGCAGTGCCAGCAATAGATGGTATAGGAGCTGAGGAAGGACAGAGCGGGTGGCAACAGGAGAGACCTTGTGAAGGGGGGTTAAGCTTGGGCTGGTCTGATGGCTGGGGAAAATTTGGATAGATGCTGCAAAGGGCGGGGGCTGTTCCAAGTGGGAGGCGCAGCCTGGGCATAAGTCTGGGGATGGAAAATGGCATGATCTTGGAGTGAGTGTGCTGGTGGGGCTGGAACAGAAGGTCTGTGCAAGGGACCCGTAGCAGTGGGCTTAGGGAGTTAGCCCCAGCCAGATCGTGGGGGCCTTAATGCCAGGTGCAGTGCTTTGAGGGAGCTGCACAGACTCAGCAGAGTGAATGCAGATGTCCTAAGAATAGAAATGGACAGCAATGTACTGGGGTCAAGGAGTGAGACAGGAACAGGAAAGCCAGTTAGTGAATCATGGAGGGGCCTGGCCCCCACGACTCTAATGCACGTGGTGGAGTATAAGGAGGGCACATTGGAGACAACAGGAGTGACCAGGAGGGAGGGGACTTTGGAGGAAAAACATGCTTTTTCATCTGAGCTGGAAGACTATGGGCTGGAGTGCCAGAGTCCAGCAGGAGTTTTGGGGTCCAGGAGGCTGAAGACTTAAATTAGGGGTTGGTCCACATGGAAAGGGTGGTTGACGTGGTGAGAACAGATGAGATTTCTAAGATAGGAGATGCAGAGAGCATGGGGGCTATGGTGTGTACCTTGGGGAATGGTGCAGAGAAGGATTTAGAGCACTTGGTGGAAAATCAGGGCTTCAGAACATCGCTGAGCCTCGGTGCCTGGCTGTCAAGTGTCGGCAGTGGTGGCCTGCATTTGTTTAGGGGCTGTCTTTCGCAGAGCTCGGGGGCCTTGTGCACAGCATCTAAATGCACTGGGAAACGAAAGGAGGGAAAAGGCAGGTGTCAGGGACATAGACCCAGTCGAGCCCTCAGTCACACAGCAGCCCTGCCCTGGCCCCCAGCTTCTAACGTGATGCACGTAAACCAACACATTGTATTCTACTCACTGGTTTTCTTTTTGGTCCATGAGGAAATGTCATAAACTGTCGTTTCTATGCTACAGAGCTTGGGGAGGAAAATACAGGACTCTGTGTGGAATGCAAATGACAGCTGTGTGCTGCCTGGAGGCTCCGGCACATGCTAGTCAGCCTCTGGCTGTGGACCTGGTAAGCCAGGCACAAATGCCCGCTCTGTACTGGGCAACTGTTCAACCAGGGTCAAGCGACTCGACCTTCCTGGGCCTCAGATTCTTCATCTAGAAAGATGGAGCTTGTGAGGTATACATGATTTAATATATGCAAAGTGCTCAGAACAGGGCAGGCAAAGTGCTTATTATCGGGAGGGGAGTAGAATGTCAGACTCAGACCCAGCACAGTGGCTCACAACTGTAATCCCAGCACTTTGTGAGGCTAAGGTGGGAGGATTGCTTGAGCTCCAGAGTTCGAGACCAGCTTGGGCAACATGGCATAACCCCATCTGTACAAAAATAAGAAAATTAATGTAAGGAGCTCAAACAGTTCTATAAGAAAAAAATCTAATAATGTGATAAAAAAATAAAACTGGGTAAAAGATTTGCTCTTTTGAGACATAGGCATTTCTCAAAAGAAGACATACACATGGGCCGGGCGCAGTGGCTCATGCCTGTAGTCTCAACACTTTGGGAGGCCAAGGCAGGTGGATTACCTGAGGTCAGGAGTTCAAGACCAACATGGGCAACATGGTGAAACCCCATCTGTACTAAAAATGCAAAAATTAGCCAGGTGTGGTCATTCCTGTAGTCCTAGCTACTGGGGAGGCTGAGGCAGGAGAATCACTTGACCTGGGAGGTGGAGGTTACAGTGAGCCGAGATCGCACCACTGCAGTGGCAAACAGGCAGATGAAAAGGTACTCAACATGATTGGTTATCGGAAAAATGTAAATCAGAACTATGATGGATATCATCTTACCCCAGTTAAAAAGGCCCATATCTAAAAGACAGGTGATAACTAATGCAGGTGAGGGTTGTGGAGGAAAGGGACCCCTCCTGTACTGTTGGTGAGAGTAAGTTAGTACAACCACCATGGAGAACAGTTTGGAGGTTCCTCAGAAAACTAAGAGTTGAGCTACCATATGATCCAGCATTCCCACTGCTGCGTATATACCCAAAAGAGAGGAAGTCAGTACATCAAGGAGCTATCTGCATTGTTTGTTGCGGCACTGTTTACAATAGCTCGGCTTTGGAAGCAGCCCAGGTGTCCATGAGCAGATGGATGGATAGTAGAGTACTACTCTGCCATAAAAAGAATGCGATCCTGTCATTTGCAACAACATGGATGGAACTGGAGATCGTTATGCTAAGTGAAATAAGCCAGGCGCAGAAGGACAAACATCACATGTTCTCACTTACTTGTGGGATCAAAAAGTCAAAACAATTGAATTACTGGACAGAGAGAGTACAAGAATGGTTACCAGAAGGCCGGGCGTGGTGGCTCAAGCCTGTAATCCCAGCACTTTGGGAGGCCGAGGCAGGTGGATCACGAGGTCAAGAGATCGAGACCATCCTGTCAACATGGTGAAACCCCGTCTCTACTAAAAATACAAAAAATTAGCTGGGCATGGTGGTGCATGCCTGTAATCCCAGCTACTCGGGAGTCTGAGGCAGGAGAATTGCCTGAACCCAGGAGGCGGAGGTTGCGGTGAGCCGAGATCGCGCCATTGCACTCCAGCCTGGGTAACAAGAGCGAAACTCCGTCTCAAAAAAAAAAAAAAAAAAAAAAAAAGAATGGTTCTATCAGAGCCTGAGCCTGGGAAGGATAGTAGTGGGTGGGGGTTGGGAGGGAGGTGGAGATGGTTAATGGGTACAAAAAATTTTAGAAAAAATGAATAAGACCTATTTGATAACACAATAGGGTGACCGTAATCAAAACAACTTAATTATATATTTTAAAATAAAGATTGTAATTGGATTGTCTGCGACTCAAAAGATAAATGCGTGAGGGCATGGATACCCCATTCTCCATGATGTGCTTATTTCACATTGCATACTTGTATCAAAACATTTCACGTACCCCGTAAGTGTAGATACCTACCATGTAGCCACAATTTTTTTTAATAATTAAAAAAAATTTTAATACAAAAATTAGCTAGGCACGGTGGTGTGTGCCTGTGGTCCCAGCTACTGGAGAGGCTGAGGTGGGAGGACTGCTTGAGCCTGGGAGGTCAAAGCTGCAGTGAGCCATGACCATGCCACTGCACTCCAGCCTGGGCAACAGAGCAAGACCCTGTCTCAAAACAAGCAAAAACAAATAAACAAAAACTCAGGGCAATTACAACGAGGGAGGCAAGGCCCGATATTTAGAAATGCTCCTTTTCATACTAATAGGATTGGACTAGAGATCCCTTACAATGTTACAGGGGTACCTTTTCTTCTGTTTGCTTTGTGGGGGATTGGCTGCTGAAAAGTTGAAGCAGGGAGTTAATGTCATATACAGAGTGGGAGTGTATTCGGCCAGATAAGAGAACCACTGTTGTGGGGAAGGCCTCCTCATTGGCCCTGAACGATCCTGGTTTAAAAACATTTTAAGATAAGAAATGAAAAGAAGACTAAGAAAGTCTCTAAGTCAACAAGCCAGGCCTAATAGAGCCACTTTTCTGTTTGCCCTTTGGAATCCAGATCCTCCTAGGACTTGTCACCACTTTGCACAGGCAGCACGCCCAGAAATGTTTCAGTGGGAGGAGGGGAAAAGACGGCCCCATGGCCTGCTGCCCTGCCCCGATGCCCTTCAGTGGCTCCCTCACGTCAGCTCTGGCCAGATGCCACCTGTCCTGACGTCGGGCCTGCTAGTTGGCTGGCTGGTGGCCTGCCCTGGGCAAAGGTGTGTGCTCACAGGCAGGTTGCATTCCAAGCCCTTCCGTTCTGGCTTTTGGAGTCCAGCCGCAGTGGTCATTACTTAAATATCACTTCTCGGGAGCCATTTCCTTTTGTAATTCGCCCTCGTTCTTGCCTTATCTTCGAAAGGTTGCTGGAATTTCTCTGTTGCTCGGAGTTTGGGGTGTTTTTCATTTGTTTTTGCTTTGGTGCTTGTAAAGGTAGGAAAGAACTTCGTGATTTCTGTAACGTAAGAATGTTTTATGCTTATGGGAAGGCCAGTTAAAATTCCTAACAACTTGGCTGGTGCAGTGCCTCCGTCTCTAGCTAGGCAGATTCTGGTGCTTGGTGCTAATTAGAGAAATTCCCAATTTGAATTGGAAAGGGACAGAAGGAATAACGGAGAGTGTGTTGAAAGTTACCTTCCACCTTTTCCCTGTGTGGTTACCCGGTGTGCCTCCTGGCTACTGCTTGGTGACCATGCTGGTGCCTTTTCCCAGCTCAGCAGGAGGAGGCCATGTGGGGGGTTCCCGCAGGGCAACCATGAGGTTGGGGAGGGCACCCTCCCCGGGCAGTCCTGTAGGTTATTTGGGGGATGCTGAGATTTGCACCAGAATGTAAGTTGCCCACAGCTTCCTTCCTAACTGCAACACTGTGGAGCATGCGGAAAATGCATGTTAGTTAGGCAAGCCATTCCCTCTGGGCCTGTAAGTAATTTTAGGCTCTGTTAAAAGTACACATTCCAATTCATCAGATTTTCCCGGGAGTATCATAAAACTGTACCCTACTCTGTTGAACAGGGTGGAACGGCCCAGAGGAGGCATCCTAGAACTTAGCTGCATTGGTCATGGGGACAGGGGGACGGAGCACACAACACAGTCATGTACTAATTGCTCCATCAGTAATTTCTTCTGCCAGCGGACATTCTTTTACTTTAGGGTATGCGGTAGCACTCTCGTTCTGAGCAGTTTTCTTTCTTGTTTCTTCTTAAGTTTCCATGCCTAAAGGTTTTACACTTTAATAACATGTTTCTGTCCTATTTGTCTTTTGCTTCAGAAACAAAGAAAAGAGTGGTAGCCAGCCAGCCTGTCTGGATCACATGCAGGACAGAAGAGCCTTGTCCCTCAAAGCCCACCAGTCAGAGAGTTACCTGCCGATTGGTATGTTTTGAGGAATTTTCGGGGAGAAGAATGTCAGCATGACCCTGGTTTCCTTTAGGCTTTTACCCCGCCCCATCTAGTCGTCTCATTTGGACGCCGCACAAGGCTTCAGGCCTGCAGCCTGGATGGGAATGGGTTTGCAGAATTAGATCCAGTGGTGAGGCACTGAGCTGGACTCTGTATGCCAGCTTTTAGGCCTCCCAGCAAGCCCTCAAGGGGGGCGTGATTATCGCCATTTCACAGCTGATGAAACGAAGGCACAGGTAGGTTAAGTAACTTCTTTAGAATCACCTAGCATTTGAACCCAGGTTTTCTGATTCAAGCCCATTTGGAAACGCGTGATCTTCATGACAAGCCTACTCCTTTTCCTGGGCTGGTGGGTGGATCCAGGGGCTTTTGACAGAACAGCTGTCCAGGCCAGCTCCCCTCTCTCCATCCTCCATTCAAGGCCAGAAGAATGGTAAGGTTTGGGGTGTGGGCACACCTCCTAAGCAGTTACACTGGTAGAACCGGGGGTGGTTTTTCATTATTTTCATAACTGACTTTCCCTGGGACCACAAAGGACTTTTGCTAATGCTCCTGCGTAAACTACGTCCCCGTGGGTTACCTGTCTCTTCTCCCTTCCCTGTCTCCAGCTCTCCCCTTGGAGTCATTACGTGGCCAATGACTCCTGTTTCTCAGGGCAAGATTACATTATTCATGCCTTCCACGCTCATAGATTTCCTCATTCTGACTGTCCTAGCCTTCTGTGACCACACAACAACGTTTGTAGCCCAGGTGGCAGTAGTCCCCGGGATTAGAATGGCACCCAGGAGTGTGCGAAGGGGCAAGCTCAGCCCAGCCCTCACAATGCTGTAGACTCCCTGAGACTGGGCATGGGGCAGTCACACTGCATTTTCTTTTGGAAACGAAAATGAAAATTGAAACCCAAGAGCATGAACAGAGGGCCGGGGGAGCAGTCACTCTGGTTTTGTTTGGTTTATATGCTCCACACAGATGAGCTTTTTCTGACCATTTCTTATCCCCCACAGGCTACAAGCTGCCACCTCAGTCCTCGGGTGTGGACACAAGCCCCTGCCCAAACTCACCCGTGTTCAGGACAGGAAGCGAGCCCACCCTGAGCCCAGCAGTGGTTCGGAGGGTCTCCTCGGACGCCAGGGCTGGGGAGGCACTGAGGGGATCAGACAGCCAGCTGTGCCCTAAGCCGCCCCCTAAGCCCTGCAAGGTGCCCCTCCTCAAGGCTCCCTCATCTCCTTCCGCCTGGCTCAACTCAGAGGCCAACTACTGTGAACTGAACCCAGCATTTGCCACAGGCTGCGGCAGGGCAGCTAAGCTTCCCTCATGTGCCCAGGGCAGCCGCACAGAACTGCTCACAGCCAAGCAGAATGGGGCGCCAGGTCCCCGGAACTCTGGCATCAACTACTTGATCCTTGATGATGATGACAGGGAAAGACCTTGGGAACGTGTGGCAGCTCAGATGGAGGAGGGGCAGCGGGACAAGGGCGAGTTTGTGACACCCCTCCTGGAGACTGTCTCCTCCTTCAGGCCCAATGACTTTGAGTCAAAGCTCCTTCCCCCTGAGAATAAGCCCCTGGAAACAGCGATGCTGAAACGTGCGAAAGAAGTGTTCACCAACAGTGACCCCAAGATCATCGCCCAGCACATACTGAGCGTGGACTGCAAGGTAAGAGCTGGGGGTCCAAGTGTTGTTCTGGCTTTGGAAGGTTTGGAAGGAGGGGATCCGTCTGGCCTCACTCCGCCTCACCCATTAGGTGCTTTGTCCATAGGAAGGTCTGAAGGTAACACCAGCATGGGCATTTATTTAATGGGTGGGAACCACAGCTGGGCAACCTTTGCCCAAGCAGGAAGCTTATAAAATTCATCTCAGACAGAGGGATGGCAGCCTGCTGCCGGGGGTGGGGGCCGCCCTGTCCACCCACCCACCCCTGCTGGTGTCAGCAGCTGCAACAGAATCTTCCTCCTCCTACCTGGTGCTATTTAAAAACTCCCCCTTGGCCTCGGCTCTGCCAGAACTGGTAAAGCCAAAGCTACAGGAGAGTAGATTGTAGATGAAAATGTTTCTGGAGTAGCAGACCTTAGTTATTTTTATTACATTATATTTATGCATAATAGAGTTAGTACTAAAGTGGTCTTTAGTATAGATAAACATCTTTAAAGCTACCTTGATTTTTAAAATAATCCTTCCTCAGTTTAGAAAAAAATCTAAAATACAGATTAAAAGATAAAATCCAGTTAATTTCAGCTTCCGGTGGCCCTGTCCGGGGCCCTGAGGGCTGTTCTCAACTGAAGAAGGCAGTCTGCCCTGGCTTGCACAGATGAAAACACCACATCCAGTTTCCTGGAGATCACTGTGGTCAGCGTTTGGTTTATGCAAAAATATTATCATTTCTCCACAGAAATGACACTACTCTATACATACTATTCCAAACCCTGAATCTTTCATTGACCAACATGACTGTCTTTCCACATGATTAAATATTTACATGGTCACTTTTTTTTTTTTTTTTTTTTTTTTTTTGAGACAAGGTCTCACTGTCACCCAGGCTGGAATGCAGAGGTGCATTCACAGCTCATGGCAGCCTTTGCCTCCCAGGCTCAAGTGATCCTCCCACCTCAGCGTCCTGAGTAGCTGGGACCGCAGCCACATGCCACCACACCTGGTTAACTTTTTGTATTTTTTGTGGAAACGGGATTTTGCCCTGTTGCTCAGGCTGGTCTCGAACTTCTGAGCTCAAGAGATCTGCTTGCCTTGGCCTCTCAAAGTGCTGGGATTACAGGCATGAGCCACCGCTCCCAGCCCATCACTATTTTTTATAGGAAACATTTATTTTAGATGTGAGTGACTTTTGTCCATTCCCAAAAGCAACCTCATTCTTAAGAGAGATTTAGTCACTTTTTTGGATCCAGGGGGATTTGTTTTAGGACCTTCATTGGCTACCAAAATCCATGGAAGCTTGCATTCTTCTATAAAATGGAGTAGTATTTGCATATAACCTATGCAATCCTCCTGTATACTTTAAATCATCTCTAGATTACTTATAACACCTAATACAAAACATATGCTTCGTAAATAGCTGTTATACTATATTGTTCAGAGAATAATGACAAGAAAAAAGGTCTACATGTTTCATACGGATGCAATTTTTTTTTTCTGAATATTTTTGATCCTCGGTTGGTTGAATCTACTGTTGCAGAAGCACGGATAAAGAGAGCTGACTGTATTCTAGACACCAGGCACCATCTCAGGCAATGGTGGTCTCAGTCCACCTTCTCTATATAAAGAGGCTGGTTCCTGGGCATTCAAAGCCCTTTTTTATTCGTAGCTCAGTGAAGTCAATTAGCGTCAAATGTCAGGGCCTATTTAGGAACCGGGTTTTCCTCCCTATGTGTTGGATCATGGCAAGAAGTCCAGTCTCGGAGCACTCCTGCAGGAAGTGCCAACACTGATGGAGGGCTCCCACAAACAGGCTTGAGGAACTTGAGGCAGTTGCTGGCCATCCTGGGGTAAACAAGGCCCTTGCTGACCACAGAACTTGAGGGATGACTCAGAAACCAGAATAACTCATTGCCCAGGCCTGGGAGGTGGGGCTGAGGGTGCACTTCTGCTGGGCAGGCCCTGAGAGGAGAGCCAGGGAACCAGCTGTGTCGGAAGAATGAGGTCGTGCTGCACATTTGGCTGGATGGCCTTGGGCAATGCTCACAGGTGGTCATGCAATTTTTGGAGTTATCGGACCTCACTTTAAATAAGCGAGCTTAACCTTGTTTGGGAAGTGAAAAGAATGAGGATTTCTCTTCTAATCAGTCAAGCACACTGGATTCTGGATCTGAGAGCAGAGCCATGTCAGAGGGTCAGGAGAGAGAGACTCTGGCCTGGTGTGAACCTGCATGGGTTTTCCATAGAGGAAGCTCCTTGTAGAAGCAGGCCTGGGTTTACAGAGCAGGCCAATTCCCAAGGGAACGAATCCCTCCTGAGGCTCTGGGCAGGGCTTAATGATCATCTAGGTAGAGGCGAGATGCCCACCTGCCCGCCCTTGGCAGGAGGTCTGGGACCTGCCCAGACCTACCTTTGGTAGCCATGAAACTAGACCCCGGGGATGTTCTCAACTAAAGAACACAGTCTGCCCTGGCTTGCCGTGGTGCGTTTTGTCCTTCTAGTGGGGCTTCACTCTCATGTCTGCCTGCAGGCACCCCTGGACAAAGGGCTGGATGGAGTCCTCAGGCAGTGAGCAGGAGCCAGCCTGGACTCTGCCCACCCAGCCCCAGGGCAGGGCTGTGTTGAAAATTTCTCCCTCTCTGTCTTTGGAGTCTACCACCATTTCCATATTCTCTTCCTGGAATCACTGACTTTCAAGCAGGCACAATCAGCATCTCTAAGAGGGAAATACAACGAGATCTGTTGTTTCCCACCCCAAATGCTGTGGCAGCGCAGACAGGACCACCCGGAAGCTGAGAGCAGGGTCTGGCTAGCATCTGGGACTCGCATGCTGGTTCCCAGCCATGCAGGCAGATGCCCAGATAGGCCATCAGGACAGTGGGTGGTCCTAAGAGCCCTCCAGACTCCCTGCCCAGCTGTGTCCATTTCCCTATCCCCCAGGGGTCTGGTTAGGAGCCACTGAGTCTCTCCGACCATGCGCAAGGTCTTTGACTATAGCCAGAAACGAGGTCCAGTAGTGAAGGGCTTGGCCTCTGCCTGAGCCTGAGCCCCACCTCTGCCACATCAGCTGAAGAGCCTCCACTTCTCTCTCTATCTGTAAGGAATACCAACTACCCAGGTAGTCGGCGAGGACTAAATGAGATAATATATTAAAAGCCCTGGGCACCTTGCCTAGCCGACAGTGAGCACTAAGTGTTTGTCTGTGTTATGCATTCAGCCTTGATGGAACGCCTACTGTGTGCTAGGGCAGCTCGTGGTCTCTGCTCTTGGAGCACCTATTATCTGGTGGGGGTGGGCTGGGGAGGGACAGTGATGCAGGAGCTTGGAGCACAACCCAGGTGGCAGATGTCCTGCAGGGGAAGGCACAGGAGTTGTGGGGCCTCCGCGCAGGGCCTTGACCAGGGATTGGGGTGTGGAGATGGGGCCGGGATGTCTGAGATGAGCGTGGAAGGCTGCATCGTTGGCCACATGAAGAACACAAAAAGCATCTTGCAGGCGGCAGGCAATGCACATGCACAGAGGCTCAGTTGTCGAAAGCGATGGAGAGAGGGTTGGTTTACAGCAGATTCACTCAGTGTGAGTGGAAGATGGGGTTAGGGGTGCGGTGTGGGAGGGCTTCACAGGTCTTTCCTTCAATGTTTCTAAGTCTCTACTTCTGGGCTCATACCAGGTTCCTGCCTGCGAGGCACTTTACAGTCGAGTGTAGTACAGCTCTGCTCTTCGATGCTGAGGGCAACAGAACCAGCGAGTGGCGCCAGGCAGTCTCGTGGTGTTTTAGAAGGGCCTTTGCGCCTGGGAGGAGGGCTGGGCTGGGCCCCCGTAGGGGCTCTCCTGGCTCAGTGCAGCAGCCTCCAAGGCAGTGGGAGAAGCAGCAATGGGCAGAGTCCAGAGATGCAGCAGAGTAGGCCAGCTGAGATTTAGAGGAGCTCTGCCAGCCTGCCCTGAGGAGTCGGCTCACAGTAGATGCTCTGGACGTGTTTGTCCTTCCTCTGTGTCTGTGAGCTGTACAACCTTGGGCATTCGTCAGGGAACCTAATCCAGGCCCGGTTGTGTGAGCTTGGGATCCCCTCAGCCCTCAGGCAAGCAGGTGTGTCTCCAGTGAAGTGACCCAAGGATGGCACAGACATGCTGAAGAAACACAGGCTGGAGAGCAGGGACCACTACCTGTCTGCCAGGTCTTCCAGAGCCAAACCGAATCAGTCACAGGCCTCCCAGTCTCGCCACCCAGAGTGCGGGGGACACCCTTCAGAAGTACAGGGTTTGGGACCTCTGACGCAGGGCAGCTGGTAAGGAAGTGTGCATGGCATGCGTCTGGGCTGCCTTGCCAAGGTCAATGTATAAATCTCTTTCCCAAGATCTGGCCAGAATTTTTCCCCTTTCCACATGGCTGATGATTCACAACTTCTATTTTCAGGTAGCTTTTGGGGGTTCTAAAGTTATCTGAATCCCTTGCAAAGTCCTTGGGAAAAGCACACTTAGCAGTTAAGTTAGAAAAGGGGAAACTGAGGCCCAGAGAGCGCAGGTAGGAGCACAGTTGGAATTCTGCATCCTGTTCTGGCATCTGCCACTGGAGAACTAATTCCATAGGCTCATCCCCTCAGGGTTGACTGTGGGTTGAACCACAGAAGTTACGGGGCAGGGTTAGTAATAACACCTAAATGACCAGATGTGTTTTGATAGCCTAGAGTAATTATGGTTGAGGACAAGTGCAAAGATCAAGGAAAGAAACCGTCCCGTGCCTGCCATGTGTTTAGGTGGCTAGACTTGTTGCATATGTTAGTTCCGCTCTTAGTACATCATTATGTTGTGAGGTGTCATTAGCTGCATTTATTTTTTGTTTTGTTTTTAGGGACAGTGTTTTGCTCTGTCACCGAGGCTGAAGTGCAGTGGCATGATCATAACTCACTGTAACCTCAAACTCCTGGACTCAAGTAGCTAGGACTGCAGGCGCACATCACCATGCATAGCTAATTTTTAATATTTTGTAAACGTGGGGTCTCACTATATTCCCTAGCTGGTCTCAAACTTCTGGCCTCAAGCAGCCCCCTACCTCAGCCTCCCAAAACGCTGGTATAACAGGCATAAGCCACCGCGCCTGGCCTATTAGCCCCATTTTAGAGACACACTGGCTCTGTTGTAACATTTCTCCATGACATTGTAATAACTAATACCTGATTCTAATAAACTGAGAATTACATACTTGAATTGAGATGGGTTGAGGGCTGTCTGGGACAAAGATTTTCTTTAAGAAAAGCCTCTCAGGAGAAAGAAGCGTGTTTGAGATCTCAGGTTTCCAATCACTGTACACATTTTTAATAGTTTCCAGACGTATAGAGCATTTACAGGGCCCAGGAGAAGCATAATTAAGGGTAATAGCCGCCAGCTGTGGCTGTTAAGTGAGAACATGAATGGCAAAGCCCACAGCAGAGAGGCACTTGGATGAGATTCCACTTTTCCACTGCAGGGGATCAGCCAGCTCCGCACACATGCAGCCCTGCTGTTGGCAGCAAAACGTCGCAGCAGGATCCTGTGTTAGACAAAGGCGTAGAGAACTAAACTGTTCTCTGGCTGGGCAGAAACACTTAACAAATCTGTAGATCTGCAGAGCAGTATAGGCATCTCCCACCAGTCTTTCTTTTCCCCCTAAGTTTTATACTCTACTGTGCGTATTAAAACACCCTAAACATCATGTAATAACAGTATTGTCAGCTGCGGCTGATGAAGAAATGCAACACAGAAAGTGTGTCCATGCCATCCCCGTTCAGTGTGTTTATCGTCTCCTATGCTGAATTCGTGATCAGGCAAGCCCACTTCCTGACCCGGTGTATTTCAACTTTGGCTCTTGACAGGTTGCTAGGATACTTGAAGTCTCTGAAGAGACGAAGAGGAACATGGGGGTGAGCTCAGGCCTGGAACTCATTACCTTGCCTCACGGACACCAGCTGCGCCTGGACATAATTGAAAGGTGAGCAGTGCTGTCCTCTGCGCTTTGACGCTCCCAGCTCCTTGCAGGCATCACAGCAGCAGGTTTTAGAACAGAGAGGGACCCAGCACCAGCCCAGCCCTGGGGTAGCAGTGCTTCAGGGTGCATGGCCTGCGGTGACTCTTCCCAGAAGCCTGAGCCAGAGAATTCCTGGAGTTGCACACAAAGACAGCACAACTCAGGAACAAAGAACATGTTCCCATCCCTGATCCTGGAGGGTCGGATGGAGAGAACAGATGGTCTGAAGCCAGTGACTCAGTTGACCTGTGTGAGCAGGAGTCACAGATCCTGTGGCCTGGGGCGGGACTGGGGCGACCAGAGCACCTCAGGGTCTCCTGGGTCTCCTGCCCTACAGCTCTGCCTAGCGAGCTGCGTCTTCGTCTCTTTGGGGGTTAAGATTGCTTGAGGAATTACGAGGAGTTTCTGGGAAATGCTGGGAAGAGCAGAGTCTAGACAGTGTTTTCTTTGAGGGGTGGACAAATAGGGTCAGGGGTCAGCGGATGACGGCACTCACCCGGGCCTCAAGTCATCCCTGCCCGCTTCTCATGAAAAGCCAGGGCCCTGGGTGTCCCTTGAAATGGAATGTTTAGGAATTAGAAAAACACCAACAGTGAGGTATGTTTTTAAGAAAAGCAGCACTAGACTAGAGATCCATATTACCACAAAAGCTGGCCTTTTTGACACATTTTTTAAAGATTGATTTGGGCAAGACTATCTTGCGAAGTGTTCTGTCGGTCCCGCCCATGCTAGTTGCCAGGACTGCCCAGGGCTGCCCAGGGCAGCTTTCTGTGGTAACAGACGAGTTCTGCACCGGCTGTTACAGCAGCCACCAGCCACGTCACTCTCGGGCGCCTGAAATGTGACCGATGTGATTGAGGGATGAGGTTTGTTAGAATTTACTATTTTCAGAGTAAATAGCCATCTGTGGGGGGATGGGCGTCACTGCTTTGGCATTTCTGCGGGTGGAAGGCAGATAAAATGACTGCCATGCTGCTGCTGTTTGGCCCTCACAGCCATGGATACGTCCCATAGAAAATACCCCGGACGCTGAGCTGAAGCCATGAGGGAGGGAGGCCAGAGGTGAAGAAGTGCCCCTTGCTGACTTTGTTCGGGAACACCCATTGTTTCGGCCTTTGGGGAATTCCAGGTTCCCCATCTGGATTTCTCTGCTCTTCCTAATGAGACCTGTCTAGGTTCCGGCCTCTCTCGGGTGTCCCCTTTCTGCCTCCTGCCCCAGGGCCCTGGCCTCCCGGCTCCGCTGTCTTCTCTTCTGTCGGCAGAGGTGAGCGATGCCGCCACACTTGGCCGTTTCTCCCATGAGACGTTTCAGCCTGAAACCCCCCAGCTTCCAGGACTAATGAATCTGAGCCCTATTTTATCAGTATTATTTGGTGTGCTGGGACAGGACAAGGGTGACAGGTTTGGGGCTTCTCTCTCGGCTGTTTTCTGACTTTCCCCTTCATTTCTCTTTTCTCCTGACTGCCTCTGGCCGGGGTCTTGTTCCTTCACTTGTTTCTTGTCCAAGGCCGACCTGCAGGATCTTCTTTTTAGAGCTGGGGGAGTCGTTTCATTAATTACCATGTGTTTATTAAATAAGGGCAGGGGTTATAGAGGTCCTGATGTGTCACATGACATCACCTTCTTGCATTTGACAATCAAATACAAAACCACCCTTTATTTTTAATTTACCACCTCACCCATTCCAGGCATCCTAGGCTGGAAGTGTCCTTCATGTGACATCTGAGTGCCGCCTCTTGCCAACCGTGGGAGCTTTTGCTGCAGACTTGCCAGCCTGAGTTGTTTTCCCATAGTGGGAGTATCCAGGAGGTTTCAGGCAAATGCTGGTTGAGTGAATGGATATAACCATTCCGTTAACCGTTGATGTAACACTAGAGGGCCATTAAAACATAGGGAGAAAACACTGTATAAAGAATCAGTTGAATGCAGCATGGGAAGTGAGTTTATAGTTAGTTAAAAGCAACATCTAAGATGTTCTGTCAATGTTAACATTTAGCAAATGGATAATAAAACTCTTCCAAAAATATACCAAATAACAGCCAGGTGTGGTGGCTCATGCCTGTAATTCCAGTACTTTGGGAGGCCAAGGCAGGTAGATCACTTGAGCCCAGGAATTCGAGACTAGCTGGGCAATGTGGCAAAACCCTATTTCTACAAAAAATACAAAAACTAGCTGGGCATGGTGGCATATGCCTGTGGTCCCAACTACTTACGAGGCTGAGGCAGGAGGATCCCTTGAGCCTGGGAGGTCAAAGCTGCAGTGAGCCATGATCACACCACTGCACTTCAGCCTGGGCAACAGAGCAAAACACTGCCTCAAAAAAAAAAAAAATACAACAAATAATAAAAATATATTTTAGGTCTATGTTTGGATCCATTAATTGAGAAAGATAAGTCAGGAAAAGGAGATAAATGGAGAACAGAGGAAAGACGGACAAAGAGGCACAATGGACCAAGATACAGAAGGAGAGACATGCACAGACACAACTGTAGTAACAACTGCTATTTATTAGGCGCCTGCCAGTGCCAGGCACTCTAATTATTATTATTATTATTATTACTTTTTTTTAAGATAGTCTCTCTTGTCACCCAGACTGGAGTGCAGCGGCGCAATCTCTGCTCACTACAACCTCCACCTCCCGGGTTCAAGAGATTCTTATCCCTCAGCCACTAAAGTAGCTGGGACTGCAGGCATGTGCCACCATGCCTAATTTTTGTTATTTTTAGTCAAGATGGGGTTGTGCCCTTGTTTGCCCAGGCTGGTGTTGAACTCCTGGGCTCAAGCAATCCGCCTGCCTTGGCCTCCTGAAGTGCTGGGATTACCGGCGTCAGCCATGTCACCTGGCTCACTTTAATTGTCTTTACACCCAAACACAGTCCCTGTTTCTCACAGCCCTTGCTCCTGTTTTACAGATGAAGAACCTGAGGGGTAGAGCAGTTAGGTACCAGCCTAAGCTTACACTGCAGGTGAGCCCCATACACGCATACATGTGCAAACACACTTGGAGGCAGAGCTCATTCGCTATTTAACGTTAGAGAAATGGGTAACGGTAAAGCACTCAATGACTCCCTGCTGCCCTTTGCTCAAGGAGAGCAAGACAGAGACCATCACACCTGGACACAGAGAGAGCACCACGTGGAATAACATCGTAGGCTATGAACATTCAGGACAGAATGGCCCTGGAGTTCAAATGCATGTTGTGTTTTAATAACTATAGCTATAAACCGGGGCTTTGTCTCTGGCACCTGTACCACAGCCTGGAAGAAATTGAGGCAATTCTGGTCTAAAGCAGTTAATTCCTGGGTCCTGATTTACAGTGGGAAGGAAAGGGGTCACGGTCTATGCTTTCTGCCACAGACTGACCCCATTTATATTAGACCTACTGTCATGCAGAGAAAAGATCACTCTGCTTCCTGTTCTGGGTCTCTGAAGTTGACCCATGTAGTTTAGGACGAGAAGAGGGAGGATTGTTGGGGAAAATGAGATTTCAATTTTATTAGGGTCTGGCCTTGTAGACACAGTCGAGCCCATCAACTATTCCACCTTTATGCTCTTCCCCATTCATTTCCTGGCTTCTGGAATGGGGCTACAGAACACCGTGCTTACCTCTTCTTTCCAGCCGTTGTTCTGATAGCTGTGTTACTGTCCTGGCTCAAGCATATCCTCTCACTTCTCTGTCCCTTTCATCCTCAAGTCCGGGCCTCAGTGGAGGTGGCCCTAGGCTTCCCCGAGGAGAGATTCTCAGAGTGTGTTGGGGGACCTGCTGTCTCCATGGACCTCTCATGGTACAGGGTACTAGGAGCCACATGTACTTCTGAGCATCTTTGCCCCAGGAGTGCCCTCTTTGTGCCCCCAGGTCCAGGGTTGAATGTGGCCCTGTCCGGGGGCTGCTTGCTTTCTGACTGCCAAGTGCACACTCTGTGGCCCAGCTTGGCCCTCCGCAGTCAGCCTGCTAAGGGGCGTTCTCTGTTGAGATTGGCTGTCTAAACTGTGCTGCCGGCACATTTCAGAGCAATCGCAGCAAGTGGCACAAACACAGCCCTGCTCTTGGCTGATTTGGTTTAGTTTTCTTCTAGTCCCCATTGGCCCTGAACCCGACCGCTGATCTCGCTTTCAGACACAACACGATGGCCATGGGCATCGCAGTGGACATTCTGGGCTGCACGGGCAGCTTGGATGACCGAGCAGCCACTCTCAGTAAGATCATCCAGGTGGCGGTGGAACTGAAGGATTCCATGGGGGACCTCTATTCCTTCTCAGCTCTCATGAAGGCCCTGGAAATGCCACAGGTAAATTTCCAATGACTTTATGTGTACTTACTGTTCTGTAAAGAGAGCTGCATGCTAGGCTTGGCAAATGAGACTATATTGGTCAATCTCAAAAGTAAATCGGATCTTAGTGAAGCTGCTTCAGTTAGGGGGCAGTGTCCTAAGTGTTTAGGGTCTTTTTTTTCCCTTTTTTGAGACACAAGCTCACTCTGCCACCCAGGCTAGAGTACAGTGGTGCGATCTCAGCTCACTGCAACCTCCACTTCCAAGGCTTAAGTGATTTTCCTGCCTCAGCCTCCTGAGTAGTTGGGACTACAGACACGTGCCACCATACCCACTTTGTATTTTTAGTAGGGACAGTGTTTCACCATGTTGGCCAGGCTGGCCTCAAACTCCTGATTTCAAATGATCCACCCATCTCGGCCTCCCAAAGTGCTAGAATTACAGGCATGAGCCACTGCGCCTGGTCTGGGGCCCATATATATATATTTGAAATGGAGTCTCACTCTCTTGTCCTGGCTGGAGTGAAGTGGCGTGATCTTGGTTCATTGCAACCTCTGTGTCCCCAGTTCAAACTATTCTCCTGCCTTAGCCCCCTGAGTAGCTGGAATAATAGGCGTGGGCCATGATACCCGGCTAATTTTTGTATTTTTGGTAGAGATGGGGTTTTGCCATGTTGGCCAGGCTGGTCTTGAACTCCTGGCCTCAGGTGATCTGCCCACCTCGGCCTCTCAAAGTGCTAGGATTACAGGCATGAACCACCATGCCCAGTCTCTAGGGTCTATTTTTTTAAAGCAGTAGATAATTTCTGACAGTCCATGCTTTCTCTTTGATGTACAGTAGCAAGTGTCAGCCTCATGAACAGTAAGGATTCATGGAGAATCAATTAGGATGAGACATCTGGCTACAGTATGTTGTTTGAGAGAGAGACTGCTTCCATGTGGGTCACCAGCTGTGTGGGCAGTTTAGGATAATCACTGGGAAATGAGACATTTGTGGAGCTTCTATCAGAGAATCCTTAAACTATTTTATCTCAGGTCATCTAAAACAGACTGTCCTAAGAACAAGTTCAGATTCCTGATCCACCTGCCATAGAACTCCCTAATTACCGTTTCTAAAATTGGGCATTTGAATTTATCTGCTCTGCCAGGGGTTTGTTAGGATGAGTGTCAAACATAAAAACCTGTATTTAAGTCAAACAGGCCTCATAGAGGAAAGTATGCTGTCACCTTTATCACTCCGGATCAGCGTTCCCACTTCTGTTCTCTCGGGCCCTGGGTGCTTGGAGGACTTGAGTATGCGTTTACAGTCCGGCCAGCAAAACCCGCAGCTAGTAGCACCAAAGCCACTGGTCACTCAGTGTGGCTGTTTCATAGCCACAGATTATCTCTGAAGTCTTGCCAGGTGCTCACTGAAAATCCATCATTGCCACTGAGAAAGACAGCCACAGCCACATGTCCCACAAGTCAGATGGTGGCTGGAATAGAATTTACTTGCATTAAGGCAAGGTCATCTTAAAAATAAAAGGTTGAACAACGTAGTGCCTTCATTGGGAATTTTTGGGGGGGTCAATTCCTATTATATTTCAGAAGCTTTCAAAATTTTTCAGGTAGTTTAGAATTTTGTAGGATTGGTATTTGAAATAAGCAACTGATAAATTCTGCCAGATTTTCATGATATACTGATTTCTACTATCACATTTTTCATTCAGGTATTTAAATTCGCATTATGTTTATTTCATGTCATCTAAAACTGCCTAGAATTTTGTCAGCTGAGCCAACAGGCCAGGGTGTGGGTAAAGCCTTCCAGCCCAGAGCTTTCCCTGAGAGTGGTAAAGGGGATGTTCTGTGGGATCGCATGGTTGCCATCCATGACATCAAACTCAGCGGTTAGGGACTTGGCCCCAACCACATTACCATGCTTTGTAGGTGGTTGGTTCCTTGCCTTCTGACGCTGTCATTCCTTCCCCTCTGGAGCACACTGGCATTGAGAGGACACAGTCCTCCAGAGTATTCAGTGGCCTGGAAGGGAAATGGCATACCCAGAGGAAGCCCAAAAGGAGAGTCACGTCACTGTGCGTGTCACTATCCAACCCAACCCTTACTCTATGGCCACATGTGCCACCTTCTCTTCTCAGCTTCTAGTATCGAGAGAGTACGTCCAGGAGATGGGCCTAGCCCAGACCCAGAGGCTTCTTTCAGAAAGGCAGTGCCTCAGGGAGTGGGTAGGGAGCAGGGGTCCCCAGAAGGGAGGGCAACGTGGTGCACTGCAGGAGGAAGGCCAGCCACAGCCTTTTCTTCACAGCACATCTGCTGGTGCTCAGCCTACTCACCTTCCTTTTGGATACAGGAGCTCTTCAGGGCCAAGTAACTGAATCTCAGCTCTGCCACATACCAGCTGGGAAGCCTTGGGCAGTCACCTAATCTCTTCTGTTTTCTGATCTGTAAAACGACGCCAAAATACTGCCCTAAAGGGCATTGTGAAGATTAAATGAAATTCTTCAAATATTTGACACAAAGCTGGCTCTTATTCCATAAATACTAATGCCCTTCCTTGTTTCATGTAGAAAACTTAACACAGCCTTGCTGGTTTTAGGGTATGAGTTGGGGGCCGTTTATCTTAGGACAGTCAGAGTCAGTGGTATATGCTGCTACTGACTAAATTATTCCAGAAGAAAACTGAGGCTGAGTTATCTGCGGAAGAAAAGGAGTGAGTAGCAGGCGTGGTATCTCAGGCTTGTTGTCCCAGCTACTCAGGAGGCTGAGGTGGGAGGATCACTGAGCCTGGGAGGTTGAGGCTGCCGTGAGCCGTGATTGTACCACTGCACCCCTGCCTGGGCAACAGAGTGAGACCCTGTCTCAAATAGGCATAAAACTCTTAACTGTAAAAGACTAGTTAAACTACAGCTTATCCATACAGTGGAATATCATGCAGAAGTTTAACAAAATAAGGCTGTTCTGTGTGTACTTATACTGAATGCTTTTGAGGCAAGGAATAGGTGTGGTTTACATAGTATAATATGCATATATGTGTGTCTTTAAAAGGGGTGTGTGTATAAATAGGAATTTTTGGGAGGTCAATTCCAGTTATATTTCAAGAGCTTTCAAAACTCTTCAGCTATACTAGAATTTTCTAGGATCAATATTTGAAATAAGCAACTTATCAATTCTGCCATATTTTCATGATATGCTGATTTCTATTATAATAGGAGTTATCATGTTTCATTCAGGCGTTTTACTTTGCATCATGTTTATTTCCTCTCATCTAATACTGCCTTGAATTTTGACAGTGGACTGGCCAGCAGGCCAGGCTGTATGTGAAGCACACACGCACAGGCAGTTGGAGAGAGTCATCTCTGGGATGGCTGAACAGCAATGCAGATGGGGTGGATGGGGGTTACTTTTTCTCTCTACCCTGCTTTTAACCACTTTGACGTTTTTACCATAAGTATCATCACATGTTCCAAAATTTAAACAAAAAGATTATTTTATTTATTTATTTATTTATTTTGAGACAGGGTCTCACTCTGTCACACAGGCTGGTGTGCAGTAGTACGATCTTGGCTTACTGCAACCTCCGCCTCCTGGGTTCAGGCGATCCTCCTGCCTCAGCCTCCTGAGTAGCTGAGAGTACAGGCTAATGCCACCATGCCTGGCTAATTTTTGTATTTTGAGTAGAGATAGGGTTTCACCATGTTGTCCAGGATGGTCTCGAACTGCTGGCCTCAGGTGATCCACCCACCTCAGCCTTCCGGAGTGCTGGGATTACGCAAAAAGGTAATTTTAAAAAGAACCTTTTCCAAAACAATAACATCTTTCTTCCAGATCACAAGGTTAGAAAAGACGTGGACTGCCCTGCGGCACCAGTACACCCAAACGGCCATCCTCTATGAGAAACAGCTGAAGCCCTTCAGCAAAATCCTGCATGAAGGCAGAGGTGAGCACGGGGCAGAGCAAGCACGGGCTCCCCCACTGGGGAGTGGAGTACAAGTGCGCAGGGCGTGTTATGAGGCCCTGAGGTCTCTGCAGCACTGTGGATGGCTCATCAGGGCTTTTATCAGACAACAGCGTTGCTTGTAGAAGGCTACGGTTGACATAACCCGGCAAGGGCTACTAGTCACCTCATTTTGTGCTTAGCTTTGGAAAGCATCTGATACGGAAAACTCTATTCCTTATTCTTCAGAGTCCACATGTGTTCCCCCAAGCAATGTATCAGTCCCACTGCTGATGCCCCTTGTGACCTTAATGGAGCGTCAGGCTGTTACTTTTGAAGGAACCGACATGTGGGAAAAAAACGACCAAAGCTGTGAAATCATGCTGAACCATTTGGCAATGGCACGATTCATGGCCCAGGCTGCGGACAGCTACCGGATGAATGCTGGGAGGAACCTGGCAGGTGAGAGCTGGTTTTTGTAAGCTGTTCTCTAACGCTACCTAGTCATTGAAATGAAGGAATGGAAGAACATGGCTGACTTCACTTTAGAAAAACACCAAAGAGGAAGGATTAAAGGATGGAATTCCCTTTCCTATATGGCTGGTTATTACTTCCTCTTAACTCCAGAACGACTCAAGTGCCCTATTTTTCCTTTCTTCTTGTGTGTTCTGCTGTTCAGTGGTATACAATTAACTGAGAGGAGGGGTCAGGAAAGAATTGGGGCCAGGCCCGGTGGCTCGCACTGTAATCCCGGCACTCTGGGAGGCCGAGGCAGGTGGATCACTTGAGGTCAGGAGTTTAAGATCATCCTGGCCAACATGGTGAAACCCTGTCTCTATGAAAAATACAAAAATTAGCTGGGCATAGTGGTGCACGCCTGCAATCCCAGCTACTCAGGAAGCTGAGGCAGGAGAATCACTTGAACCTGGGAGGCGGAGGCTACAGTGAGCCGAGATCGTGCCACTGCACTCCCGCCTGGGTTCTGGGTGACAGAGCGAGACTCCATCTGAAGGAAAAAAGAAAAGAAAGAAAAAAGAAAGGAAGAAAGAAGAAAGGAAAGAATTGGCCAGCTTGCCTGCCACTTATTAATAGTGCATCTAACAGGTGACATTAGAAAAGGTCATGTACCAGGATGAGGAGGTGGGGTTCTATCCAGGCCTCATTTACCTGCATGCCTGTTCCTTCCCAGTCACACTGGGGAGTGAGCTCCCCTGCTCTTAGCATCAGACACATCCTGCAAAGTGTGGGGCGGTGTTGTGTAAACGGATCTTTCTTATAAGTGTATGGTGACAGAAAGCGGCTTCCTCAGTCAACTGGCCAGCGTTTATCACAGATGTGGCATGGGCGCAGCTCTGCTGACTGGATGTCCTGAGGAATTTAAGCAGGTATCTTGGCACGCGGCGCTAAGTGCGGCGTGTACTGTGGGAGCACTTAGGAGAAGGGACTGATTTGGTCAGAGATGCTAGGAAAGAGGAGGCACCTGGGGACAGCGTCCCAGAAAACACTGCCATTGACTGTTAAAGGACAAAAGTAGTTACCAGAAAGCAGGGCTGGGAATTCCACTCAGACGGCACAACCCAACCAAAGGCGCTGAGAGAGCCCAGGGAAAACCGTGATCCACAAGTGCCCGGTTTAAGATTCGTGCGAAGTATGAGCTGAGGAATGGCCAACAAGGCTGCAGAGGGAGGTGCAGCTGGGGAGGCCCTTCCAGACGGGACCGTGGCTGAGGAAGAGCCAGTGAAGGGTTTAACCATGGGAGGGTGTCACATGGTCAGATTTCTGTTTTAAAGTAAATTACTCTGGTGTCTGTGTGGAAGAAGGCTGGAGGGCTGGCTGACTGTTGGCAGAAAGACCAGGAAGGAGGGCTTTGCCAAGACGGGCATCGGGGATGACTATTTTCTGTTACTATGTAATTTTTTAAATTCTTCAAGGGCCCACAGTTCGATTCACAAGGTTAAGAACTATGTGGGAGCAGGAGACTCCATTCATTTCATTCTAAAAGGAAGCTGCTTCAGAACCAGAATGTGGGACTCGGTGGTTTGCACCATCTACTGTGGGTACAAGCACCACATACCTGGTTCATTTTCTTTCTCAAAACGTTCTCCAGGATTGGCTGTATGTGACTCAAACAATAAAGGCACACAAGTCAACAAATATCAGAGTGCCTACTTAGACAAAGCCAATGAATACATTACAGTGGTTGTTACATATACATCAGGGTGGGTTTTGAGGAAACTGCCATGAGCTGCTCTACAGCTTTAAATCACCTTAAAGGCTACTGATGAAATATTTCAGTTGATCCTAATGCAGGTTTACATAGCAAGTTCCCATTGCTTTAAGTGACTGTGAACCCAGGAAAGGCAGCGATCTGCTCACCAGCATAGACCAGCCTGGGTGATACGGGAAGGGACTTAATGAATGTTAACTGAATGAATAGAAGTCACCATCTGGGGGCTGGGCAGTGGCTCACGCCTGTATCCCCAGCACTTTGGGAGGCCGAGGCAGGACTTACAGACCAGCCTGGCCAACATGGCAAAACCCCACTTCTGCTAAACATATAAAACTTAGCTGGGCATGGTGGTGGGTGCCTGCAATCCCAGTTACTTGACAGGCGAATCACTTTGAATCCGGGAGACAGAGGTTGCAGTGAGCCAGCATCATGCCACTGCACTCCAGCCTGGTCTCAAAAAAAAAAAAAACTGGTCTCAAAAAAACAAAACAAAAGTCACCATCATCTGGCCTTTGGTTGATTATCCATCAAGGATATTCTGGCATCATCAGGAAGAAAATATTCCTATTGTTCTTTCTACCACAAAGATCCTATGATCTAGATGGTGGGTATATTTAATGACAAAACAAACTACCCCAGCAATAATAAAGGATGAGAAACAAACATATGACTCTTTGGCTAACAGTTTCTCCCTCTTTAATAGAGTTGCCTGAACATCTTTGGCCTTAAGTAGACCAGATCTTGTCTTAGAGAGTTAGGAAACAGGCGCACACATATGGCTGGCTGTTGATTTTCAGCAAAGGTGCCAAAGTAATTCACTGGATAAAGTACAGTCCTTCCACAAATGGTGCTGGAGCTATTGGATATCCATATGCAAAAAAGTGAATCTTGATCCTTAATTCATACCATACACAATAATTAACCCCAAATAGATCATAGACCCAAAACGTAAGCGTTAAAGTATAACCTCCTGCAAGAAAGTATAGGAGAAATTCTTTGTGCCCTTGAGCTAAAGATTTCTTAGGACACAAAAAGCATGAACCATAGCAGAAAACATTGAGTACACATATATCTGATAAAGGACTTACAGCTACAATATACAAAGAACCCTCACAACTCAATGAGAAGACAAAATTTAAATAGACAAAAATTTGAACAGACACTCCATCAGAGAAGGCATACAAATGACAACTATGTGGTGTGAAAAGATGTTCAAAGCATTCATCATTAGGGAAATGTAAATTTAAACCAACCACAGTGAGATACTACCATACTATCTAGAATGGGTGCAATTAGAAAGAATGATAGGCCAGGCACAGGCACGGTGGCTCACGTCTGTAATCCCAGCACTTTTTGGGAGGCTGAAGTGGGTGGACCACCTGAAGTCAGAAGTTCAAGACCAGCCTGGCCAACATGGGAGAACCCCATCTCTACTAAAAATACAAAAAATTAGCCGAGCATGGTGGCACATGACTGCAGTCTCAGCTACTCGGGGCTGAGGCAGGAGAACTGCTTGAACCAGAGAGGCAGAGGTTGTGGTGAGCCCAGGTCAAGCCACTACACTCCAGCCTCGGTGACAGAGCAAGACTCCTTCTCAAAAATAAAAATAAAGGGTTGGCAGCATATGGAAAAACTTGGAATCTTCATATGTTGCTGGTGTGAATCTAAAATCGTACAGCCATTTTGGAATAGCACTTAACAGTTTCTTTAAAAATAAACATATACTTACCATATGACCCAACAATTCCTTTCCTAGAGAAATGAAAACACGTGTCCACACAAGATTTGTAAACAAATGTTCACAACCACTTACTCATAATAGCCAGAAACTAGAAGCATCCAAAAGTCATCAGTTAAGTGAATGGATAAACAAAATGTGGGATGTCCATAAAACTGAATACTACTGATCAGTAAAAATGAATCTTTAATATGCAACATGTAATACTCTCAGAAACATCATGCTAAGTGAAAGAAGTCAGACATTAAAGAGTCCATAGTGGATGATTCCATTTATCCCAAATTTCTAGAAAAGGCAAAACAGTAGCAACAGAAAGGGGTTGACTGGTGGTGACTGAGGTCTGCCGTAGGAACAGGAATTGACTGTGAAGAGGTAGTAGGGTGATGGAAATGTAAAAAAGTCTAAAACTGATGGTGCCGATTTAGGTAGAAACTTACCATCATAAAACTGCACAGCCAAAAACAGGTGAATCATGAGTGTAAACTATACATCAGTAAAGTTAGTAAAAACAAGTAACAAACTCCTGTAGGTACCGTGAACCTGCCTTCCCACAGCACTACTTCCCGCGGTGGTTTGAACAAACCAGTGTCACTCTATCGTGTTTTAATGAGTTTACCTGTTATTTCTTCTCTGAAGGTGCTCAGGTTCTGCAGGGTAGGTCTCTGCCCTCCCTTGTGTAGAATAGATTCTTTTTCTGTGGGGACATCTTTTAAAGTTCTGAGAGAGAAAAGATGAAGTTCATCTTGATCCTACTTTAAGCAAGCTTTTAGTCTATATTTAACACTACATCTTAGGCTGAACTGAAGTAGCTTTTTGGTTGTTTTGTTTTGATTAGGTTTTCAACCAGATGAAGAAATGAACGAAATCTGCAAGACTGAATTTCAAATGCGATTGCTATGGGGCAGCAAAGGTGCACAAGTCAATCAGACAGAGAGATACGAGAAATTCAACCAGATTTTAACTGCCCTCTCACGTAAATTGGAACCTCCTCCTGTAAAGCAGGCAGAGCTTTGATAACTCTCCAGAGAATCTTCAGAATATCTTTTCAAGTTTCCCCAGCTGCTGCTTTGGGAGAGCTTAACCATTTGATAAAGTAATAAAGTGCAAACCTGACAATATACAAGCTTTTAGTATCCACAGGATATTAAACGTGTAAACTGCACAGAGCACACTTATTTATGAATTGTCTAAAATTACTACTGATTTTAAAATGAATAATTTATTATTAAGGTAACTACTGCTAATGTTGATCAGCACATTCAAGAGAAGACCTAGCTATGTTGGCTGGTTGCTTTCTATTATCATGGTATTTGACGATTTTAGTTTTAATTCCATGTCAGATAAGTGTAAATAGAAGTTTAAAAGCATGAAACATTTCAGAAGGTATCAGTTATATGATATTCTTTAAATGAGAAAAATGTAAATAGTCATGAATGAAAATATATCTTTTTGTGAAACAGTTGTATCCAGTCTCTTTCATTTTAAACAACTCATCTTAGTACAATAATTCTACCTCTTAGTGGCCTCAGAGGTATTGTATCCCGATAGTAAACCAAAATTAATGAAAGTGGTATGAAAAGTTTAAGCTTTCTGGATTGGGAGACAGAGTGATAGTGACAGCTCCATGGGATCTGGGTTCAAACGCAAGCCGTGGTGCTGGCAGTGGAGTTAGGCCATGTTTGTTTACCTCACTGAATCCCATGTGCAGCACCGCCCCCTGTACAAACTGGGCACCCAGGTCTTAGTTGTGATTAACATCTCTTCACATATTTCAAAGTAATCAACTGTTACCTTTTCCTCTGGCTGATGAGCACAACAATGAGTTTCCTAGGTTGGTATCCCCTTTGCAAAGGGGATACTTTCTAATTTCTTTCTAGTTTATCAGCATCCCCCTCAATTTTTCCTATTGTACAAAATTTGGAATACAAGACTTTAAAATATTCTGTCACTCTGCCACCAACTGTCAAACATTTAGTAATTTTTCCTTCTTCTCGTTTAAATAACATTGGGTCCACATCAACTTTTATATTTGTCTTAAACTGGCTGTGAAAATTTCTCCATGTTAAATAGCCTTCAAAAAATATTATTTATTGGTTCCAGAAGTTAGTTACACTGTAACTTAACCATCACCGTGTGGTGGTTTTTTAAAATGGGCCACATTATGTTATTTTTTGTTGAAAAAAACTGAAGCACATTTTTACTTCTGGCAATATTGTGGTTCAGATGCTCTTAGAAAGCCCTCATACCATAAGTAAATCCTGAATAAATTTTAATAAACATACCTTTTAGTGTATGATCAACCTTGTTAGAAATTCCCAAGGACTAGATCTCTCCCCACACCACACCTGAAAAAGGTACAGCGAATCTGAATCAACTCCGTATGAGAACCTAGAGGCAAAGAGTAACATCATCAGCTCAATGAATGAAAGAGTCTGTCTTGGGAAAACTTAAAATGCCTTCATGAAGCAGGAATCCTTAAAAAGGGTCCCTGTTAACAGGATGGAAAAAATCTACCAGCAAAGGGAGGTTGCCAGGAAAGATGACTGTCTTCACATACCGCCCTGGGAAGAAAATCATTATAATGACAATAGTATTCAGGGAAGATTTGTAACCACGGCCTGTGCTCATCTAGGTCTGGAGTAAGCAAAATCCAAAACCAAGAAATTGATTTACAGTGGTCCCAGCTTGGTGGTACCTATCAGATATAAAAGCTCCTTACTAAGCTACACTAATTAAGCTATTATCAGAAATTTAACATGACAGAGTGATACTGTTGATCAGTGGGGGCAAGGATGACTTTGAACAATTGGTTAAACAAATGAAAGGAGGAAAATGGTCTCTTACCTCTTATCATACACGCACACAAAAAAATCTAGATGAGTTAAGAACCTACATGTGAAAGGCAAAATCATAATACTTTTAGAAGAAAATATCTTTTACTCTGAATCAAGAATTCTTAAATTAGAAAAAGCATTAACTATAAAATAGTGATTAATCTGCATTAAAATGAAGAACTTACATTCAAAAGACATCATAGACAACCTGAAAAGAAAAGATATTGACAACACATAAAATGGACAACAGATTAGTATGGTAGGCAGCCCCGCTGTGTTCTCTGCCTCCTGGTGCTAACACTGTGTTGTCCCTTCCTACATTGTACCAGGCTTTGTGCAACCAAAACCAAGCACACAGGGCAGAAGTAATGGTATGTTGCATCTGAGATAAATAGGTTATGAGAAGACTAACTTCTGTCTTGGGTCTTGAATCACTCACTCTGGGGAAAGCAAGATGCCACCTTATGAGTATCCCTATGGAGGGATCCACATGGCAAGGAACTGAAGCCTCTAGCCAACAGCCAGCAAGTAACAAAGGCTTACCAGCAACCACATGGATAATCTTAAAAGTGGACTCTCCAGCCAAAGCCTTGAAGATACTGCAACCTCAGCCAGCAGTTGGACTGCCATCTCATGAGAAACCCTGAGCCAAAATCAGCTATCTATGTTACACAATAAAAGATAACTAGCAAATTTAGCATCCACAATACATAAAGAGCTTCCATGAATAAATATAAAAAGACAACCAACCCCATCCCCTAAAAAAAGATGAAGATAAAACAGGGTTTTTACAAGAAGGAGAAACATAGTAAACATATAGATGCACATCAATAATCGGAGCAACACAATTTAAGCCTACAATGAAATGCTCTTTTATATCCTTTGAACTGACAAAAACTGAAGTCTGACTCCTAAGTGCTGGCCAGGATATGGAATACAAATAACCCTTGTAATAACCATTTACTGTAAAAATGTTACAATAACTTTGGGAGGAAAATGTGGCATTATAGTTTAAAACTGAAAATTAAGGAAGTCCTAGCCAGAGCAGTCAGGCAAGAGAAAGAAATAAAAGGCACCCAAATTTGGGAAAAAGGGAAGTCATATTTTCTCTTTGCTGATGACATGATTCTGTACCTAGAAAACCCTAAAGATTCCACCAAAAGACTCCCAGACCTCATAAATGATTTTAGCAAAGCCTCAGGAAGCAAAATATAAATGTACAAAAATCAGAAGCATTTCTACATACCAATAACATTCAAGCTGAGAACCAAATCAAGAATATAATCTCATTTATAATAGCCACCAAAAAAAAAACCCATATCAAACCAAAACAAAACTAGGACTACTTCTAACCAAGGAGACCTACTAAAACACTGCTGAAAGAAATCATAGATGACACAAACAGAAAAGCAATCCATGTTCATGGATTGGAAGAATCATCATTAAAATGTCCATTCTGCCCAAAGCAATATATATATTCAACACTATTCCTATAAAATTCCCAATGTCAATTTTCACAGAATTAGAAAAAACTATTTTAAAATTCACATGGAATGAAAAAAGAGCTAGAATAGCTAAGGCAATCCTAAGCATAAAGAATAAAGTGGAAGGTATCATATAACCTGGCTTCAAACTATACTACAAGGCAACAGTAACCAAAACAGCATGGTACTGGCACAAAAATAGACACAATAGACCAATGGAACAGCGTAGGGACCCCTGAAATAAAGCTGCACACCTACAACCAATTGATCTTGAACAAAGCCAACAAAATAAATAATGGGGAAAGGATACCCTGTTCAATACACGGTGCTGGGAAAACTGACTAACCATATGCAGAAGAATGAAACTGGACCCCTATCTCTCACCATATACAAAAATTAAGATGAATTAAAGACTTAACTGAAAGACCTCAAACTATAAAAAGCCTAGGAGAAAACCTAGAAAATACTTTTCTAGATATTGGCCTAGGCAAATAATTTATGACTAAGTCCTCAAAAGCAAATGCAACAAGAACAAAAATTGACAACTGAGACCCAACTAAACTAAGGAGCTTCTGCGTAGCAAAAGAAACTATCAACAGAGTTAACAGACAACTTACAGAATGGGAGCAAATATTTGCACACTACATGTCTGACCAAGGACTAATATCCAGAATCTATAAGGAACTTAAATCAGCAAGAAAAAACCAACTACTTTAAAACTACTACAACTACTGTTGTGGGCAACAGACATGAACAGACACTTCTCAGAAGACATACAAGCAGCCAATAAACATATGAAAAAATGCTTAAGATCAGTCATTAGAGAGATGCAAATAAAAAACCACAGGAGATACCAGCCCACACCAGTAAGAATGGCTATTGAAAAGTAAAAAAAAAAAAAAATAACAGATGTTGGCAAGGTTGTGAAAAAAAGGGAATGCTCATACACTATTTATGGGAATACAAATTAGTTCAGCCCCTGTGGAAAGCAGTTTGGAGATTTCTCGAAGAACTAAAACTAGAATTACACCATTTGACCCAGCAATCACATTACTGGGTATATACCCAGAGGAAAAGAAATCATTCTACAGAAAAACATCTGCACTCATATATTTATCACAGCACTACTCACAACAGCAAAGACATAGAATCAACCCAGGTGCCCACTAATGGCTGACTGGTTAAGGAAAATGTGGTGGCCAGGCACAGTGGCTCACACCTGCAATCCTAGCACTTTGGGAGGCCAAGAAGGGTGGATCACCGAGGTCAGGAGTTCGAGACCAGCCTGGCCAACAATGGTGAAAACCTGTCTCTACAAAAAATACAAAAATTAGCTAGGTGTGGTGGTGGGCATCTGTAATCTCAGCTACTCAGGAGGCTGAGGCAGGAGAATCACTTAAACCTGGGAAGCAGTGGTTGCAGTGAGTCAAGATCGTCCCATTGCCCTCCAGCCTGGGCAACAAGATTGAAACAAGAAAGAAGGAAAGGAAAGGAAAAAGGAAAGGAAAGGAAAAAAGAAAGAGAAAGAAAGAAAGAAGAAAATGCAGTACATACATACCATGGAATCCTACACAGAATATGAATGAAATCATACTCTTTGCAGTAATATGGATGCAGCTGGAGGCCATTATCTTAAGTGAATTAATGCAGAAACAGAAAACCAAATACTGCATGTCTTCACTTATAAGTGGGAGCAAAACACTGGGTAAAAATGTACATAAAAATGGGGACAGCAGACACTGGCGATCCCAAAACGGGGGAGCAAGAGAGGGGAGAAAGGCTTGAAAAAATACCTACTGGTTACAATGGTCACTACTTGAGCAAAAGGATCATTAGAAGTCCAAATCTCAGCAGCACACAATATATTCATATAATAAACCTGTACATGTGCCCCTTGAATCTAAAATTTCAATGAAAATTAAAACCATAATCTAGCAATTCTACTCCTTGGTACAGATTTTAGAGAAACTCGTATCAGGAAACATGTACATGGATATGCATAAGCAGCACATTTTACTAACAAAACTGATAGCCCAAATGTCCATCAACAAGAGGATGGATAAATTGTGTATACTTTCATAATGGAATACTGTATTATGCATAAACACAGATAAATCTTAGAAACTATGTTGAGTGAAA